TCTACGCGTAGACAAAAGAGTGTACTTTAATTTAATGTAAAAATCATTAAAATCTATTCACTTTTAGCATAGAAAATATTTACCAAAACTTTTCAAAAAATAATAATTTGATATTTTATAGGATATCAAAGTATTATGTTCGATGTCTAGAAAAAACTGCAAGAATTTTTCAATTTCCAACTTCGTCTGAAAGCTCTTTGCATTCATATTAATGCCGAGGAATTACTAGCAATGACTGATTTTCGGCTTTAACGATAACATATATAAATATTGAAGATATATTCTTTTTAATGAAATAATTGATTTATCAATGTGTGACAAGAATATTATTTAAACCAGATAAAAGTACAGCACGTATATATATACCGAAAATAATATACTTCGTATCAGAAAATATGTTGAAATTATTTCAATGATTTTCATATAAAATTTTATTATATTTTATCCTGACATTCTGTAGAAATTAATTCGTCGATTAAATTTATGTTACTGTTGATATTATTCGATCTTATTTTAGGTATATAAAGTTGAAGAATGTCCTGAAACGTTAGCTTTTGCTTCAGAACCAGTTTTAGCTAGTCTTGCTAACGTTTTAGCTTCTCAGGAACAACAAGAACTTAACAGGCAAAATTTGTCGCAAAGCAATCGTCCCTGTTACGTGAAAGATTATGAATTATTGGATATCGAAATTAAATATGGTTTGTTACAGGTAAGAATTTAATTCTTCAAGAAAAATTTGTAATTTTAAATACTTGTGTGTGAATATATATATATTATATATTAATAATAAATTTAATATTTATATATATATATATATATATTTAATATACATGGATACGAATTACGTAAAATAAAATATAAACCTTTTCTTATGTTAGTTTATTCGTTGCATTGTAAAACGCGTTTAATCGTTAAAAAATTGCAGTATTTTATGAATTACGGGGATCGCAAACGAAGAGAAAGAATTTTTTCAATTATTATGCTCGTGTAATAGTGGGTAATTAATTTTCCAGGACAAAGAAAAACAAGTTTGTAATTAACGGGAAACGTTATTGGATGTCGAATAAATATCTCGCGTGTTTTTTTTTGTTTCCTTTTGCCAACGTTTAGACAACGTTTGCGTAAAAAGAAGAAAGAAAATTATAAACGAGCCGATAATTTATATTAAAGGGGGAAAAAATAATTAAACGATTCGTAATTGGTTTCCGCAAGTTTTAACGTATTTCATTTTTTTCTTTTTTCTGATAGATAATATTATCGCAAAAAATAAAGTATAACACGATATATATATATATATATATTTAATTTTTGTAATATATTGATCTCTCGCAATCGTATAAGAGAAAAAATATTTCGTGTGTAACGTTTTTACAGATTACCGAAGCATTGCTATTTCTGCATAACAGTTGTCATCCGAAAATTCTTCACAGAAACGTATGTCCGAGTAATATTATAATAACTAAAAGAGGAACGTGGAAACTTGCTGGATTTGAATTTATAAGTAAGAGAGATTCAATCACATTTTCAAATAATGAAATATTTCATTTCAATTAGTTTCAATATTATTTATTTAATATATTATCACAGAGGTGATCAATAAAATACCATTTGATATAAAACCATGGACAAGTAGTAAGTCAAAGATGGCACAACCAAATTTGGATTATTTAGGTAAGAAAATAATTAAATTGATTGGACAATTTTCTTCTACTTTCGTGTCGGGTTTTGTTATAGCACCGGAAACTCAACAAAAAGAATTAGATTGTTTTGCTAGCGACATGTATAGTTTTGGAATGACAATGTGTGCTATATTCAATCATGGCAGACCTTTGATTCAAGCAAATCACAATTATACCGAGTACCTGAAACAAATGGACAATGTAAGTGATTCATTCTAAAGAAACATATTTTAAACAAACATTGTATACTAATAGTTTTTATTCAAAATTATTAAGAAAAGTGGACAGAAATAATCGGGTATTTTGTAAATGAACATATACAAATAACAAAATACAACAAACCATTAGATATAGAAAATCTAATAAAAGGTATATGAATCAAATATTTTCAATCATGACGTTCAACGTCAGGAATTGTTCCTACTTGATATTATCGATCAATTGAATTATTTTTCAATCACATTTATGGTGATTTTATTATTTGTAAATGTTATAATACAAAACAAAATAAATACAAATAAGTTTTCAATTGTTAATCATATATTAGATATTAGACTAATAGTTTTTCCGCAACACTTAGAATCACGAGCAAACAATAGATTGTTGTTCGACACCATAAGGAATAAAGTTGACCAACGAGATCGTACAATAAGATATATTCAATTGTTTTTACATAATATATATCTATCAAATTAAAAAATATTTTTCTTTTCTATTTTACACGATTCACATTGCACTTCTCATACCTTCAGCTCGACGTTCAGGTAGAACTTTTTCTACCCTCGGTAACACCTCCACTAAAAGAAGCAATATCAAGACTTCTGCAAAAGGACATTAGTCTAAGGCCTACAGCTCAAGTTTTATCGATGATCAAATATTTCCGGTTGGTTAAAAAGAAATATCTTTGTTGAAGTATATATATATATATATATAAATCAAACAATAATGAATGAAAGTAAGAAAGAAAAAGAAAGAGTGAGAGAGAGAGAGAATAGAAGAAGAAAACAAAATACAATACAATACAATAAAATACAAATATAAATGTAAAATAAATAAATTACAGGGACCCGCTAGTGCACGCCTTTCAATTTCTGGATGTTAGCAAGTTAAAGGACTTATCGCAAAAGGAACATTTTTATACGACGACCCTGAAGGAATTTTTGCCGTATGTACCGAAGGTAGAAAAGACGATCTACATAAAAAAAAGACGACCATATGCTATTCCGTCGGCTCGCGTTGTCACATGCACCACTTTAATACGCAGAAACTATTGTATCAACACATTTGGTGGTATCTTCGGGCTGAGTTGCAGACCCAGGAAGTCTTATCGGCGGTCCTGCAGCCGATCTTATACATCATTGAAAAGAGTACTAAAGAAGAATTCGAGAAAATAATCTTTCCAACTCTGAGGTAAATCAGATTCTTCAATTTGGTTCACAATTGAAAACATTTACAACAGTAATGGGAGAACAGTGTTATTCGTACAGTAAGTTTTTTAGGAAAATTAAAACAAATCTGTATTTTCTATATTATTAATTGTAATTAATACATGTATATTATTACATTGTATATTATTAAATATGTTATTACAAAATGAATGTATAGAGTAAAACGATATATATATACGTTTGCATGATTTATGCACTAACATTTGTTATAAGTAATATAAATGAACTTTTGTACTAGTTACTTTTGTAACTTACGAGACTTGAGTGTTCTTTGAATGGTGAAATTTTAAAAGGAACATAAGTATTCGTACATTGTTAATAGTTAATAAAAATGTAATTACAAATTTAGTAGTAGTAGTATCTATGTCAAACAAAAATTGATGCAAAATTATTCTTCAAGAAAAGAATCATATGAAATATTAATTATTATATTTATATTCGTTACTAGTTTGTCTTGTAAGTTACAAAATACTATAATGAACATTTGTTTATTTATAATACTTACTATTCTAATGTTAGTGCATAATATGCAAACATATTGTATTGCAATTAATAATATAGAAAATACAGATTATTTTCTTATCACATACTCACTGTACGAATACTTTTGTATTTATTATTTGACTGTGTGGAATAATGTGTATTAATATTTACAAGCTTATATATTGATTATTATTATTATTATTATTACATTTTAATTTAATTTATTATTCAAAAGTTTGTATTATAGTTTTCCTACAAATTAATTCTATTTTATATTAAAGGAATTATTTTCTCGAATTCTTTTTTATCTCATTTTTACTTGTTCTCAGACCACTCTTCTTGAACCGAAAATCAATTAATGGTACCGTTACAATGTTAGAAAATTTACATGTAATATTGAAGAAGACCCCCGAGGAATACATAGATTCGGAGGTTTTACAAATGTTGTATACCAGTTTTGAAAATTCAACGATACAAGTGCAGGTAAAATAATACACACATACAGGCACACACGATCACACATATATAGAATCCGTTAAAGGGGTAACGTTATCCTCTAGGCTTTAAAATGATACGAAATTATGAAAGTTTTTTCTGCTCAAATAATTCAAAGATTGTTTAACAAAAATTATAATTTAAAATATAAAGTTGTGTGTGTGTCTACTTATCAACAAAAAAAAGAATCTTATCTTATAATTCAATGCAATATATATTATTTACAAAAATCCTATCTAAATTGTAAGAAAAATTATGATAACTAAATTTAAAAAAATTATGTTTGGAGAAAAACGTGTTGAAATATTTGTTAAATAATTGAAATGCACTAAGACGTTATATTTTGTTCTAAAATCATTTGTATCATATTAATTATACTCATCATTATATTATATATTTATAATACAATCATATTATAAATGAATGATTTAAGTTAACAACAGAGAGAGAGAAAAATGAATTGTTTTAAAGTCTTTAAGGGTAACGTTAATCCCCTTGAAATCATACTAGCATGAAAACGTGATAGGAAATATACACTTTACACGTTCCCCATAGACGGCCGCTTGCATAGCCGTGACCAAAGTAACAGATTATATCAACGACGATGCTATAAAAACAATAATACTACCGAAGATACTCCAGGCCTTCGACAACAAGACTGTCGATGAATGCGAATTGATGAAAGTGATTTACTGTATTTTAAATCGACTCGAGAAACAAAAGATCATAGACTACGTTTTACCCCTTCTCAGCAAGGTTAATCTCCAAGAACCCGAGATTGTTGTTCGGGTTGTAAGTAAGTGTGAAATCGTTGTTTTTTTTTTATAGAAAACAAACAAAAAAAAAGAAAAGAAAAATTGCTTATAATGCTTCGCGCTTTTTCAAAATGCTTTCTGAGCTTTCAAAATGTGCAATTTTGTATAAATTGTGCGGAAAGTAAGACGAATTATTTCATTTGATTTTGTGTATATTAACAATTCTCATTAATATTATTATCTATGATCAAATTTTCATTTATTATAGATATTTACACGTTGATGCTCACCGATAAAAAATACGGTCTTTCCGTTAATTGGATGGCAACTCGTGCGTTACCATCGTTGCTTCCGCAAACTGTCAATCCTGGATTAAATTTGGATCAATTCGTATTACTTTTTCAAGTTTTACAAGAAATGTTGAATCACATAGAAAGGCAAGTTTTTCTTTATCCTCTCTCTCTCTCTCTATCGTTTCAATTATTTTTATTTATTTCTGTTTGTTTCATAATATAACAGACAAAACGATTGTGATATATTTTGATATTTTTAGGAATCAAAGAAATAAACTCACCTTAGATAATCTATCTTTACCGAGTCCGGACAGATTTCGAACTTTTCGACATCAGCATAGTACGGATAACATGCATGTTCCACCATTCAACATTCCGAATTTACGTATCGATCAACGGAAAACATCATCTGCCGAAGATATGGCGAGAAAAAATAGCATGAGTAAGAAATCTGGAATTATATTGTGTTTTTGTGCAAAATTAATTAGATAATTCATTATATTTGTATCTTATCGATATTAGCTGAACCAGATAGGACAGCATCTGCCGAAAATATGGCCCGAAAAAATTCAATAATATGTACGTAATGTTTTAATACTTGTTATCAAAATAATTAATTAAACAAATCTTAAATCAATGATACATTTTTGTTTGTATTCGTAGCCAATTTCGGAGGGTGGTTTACATCAACGGTGAACGATAGTAATTTCTTAAAAGTGCATAACGCTTTCACGAGTAGACGTCTTTCGGATAATACATTAATGACACCTAAAATACGCGTAGCACCCTCTTGCGCAAGTTCACCAGGTGGAACACCTGGTGGTGGTTTACCAATACGTCGTCATTCGACTCAGGAACGACGTGGATCAACTATTAATCTTTCACCGCCGACGGTAACATTATATCTAATATTTAATAAAATTCGTTAAATTTGTTAAACATACAATAGGTGGATAATAAATGTGCCTTAATTGTAATTATGAGAAGAGTGGATTAAGTTAAACGATTGATCAACTAACTAATTCATTTCGTGTGATTTGTTTTATATTCCAAAAATAATTTATATATATAATAAAATTGATTATATATATTGGATTGGCAACTAAGTGATTGTGGATTTTGTTGCAATTAATTTTATTATTTTATTATTAAAATAATTGCACACACTTTTTAGTTGCCCCAACCCAATATATATTATATCATAGAATATAAATAATAACATTAAAATCAATTCAATAATATAATAACCATTTTTCACATTATCACACAATTATTGATATAAATATTATCAATGAAGAAAATAATGACATGATAAATCAGTCATAATTTCATATTCATAGGGAGGTGGAATGCCAATAACAAGTAGTAGCGTGCCGTATCTTCTCAGTTCGAGTATGAATAGTGTCCGAGGATCAAGACGTCCCTCGGTATCATCAACGTCATCCCAACAAGGACTCCTTCACCAGGTTGGCACCAGCATGGTAAGACAACTACCCCCAATCTGCCTCAATGGACTACCACCACCACAACCAACACTTTCTCCATCACTCCAGCTACCGGGACAACATTCCCACTGACCCTTGGTTACAGTGTAAGGATACTATGCTTCCTTTACCTACATGCCAGCACCAAAGATCGTGTCTGCATCTCGCTTGCTCTATCGCACGGTACTTTGATATTTCCTACAAGGAAGATCTTCAATTTCGATGACATTGTGTTTCTTCGACGATTGAACATCTTCCGTTATTTAAAACTATAAACGAATATAATATATACATTATATATTATTTCTAAATTTATATATTTTTATATAATAATAATAATAATAACAGTTGAGATCCGCTACATTTGCTATGCTATTTGCTAATTGTAAATAATGCTCTTCTTGTTACGTGCTACTGCTGGTTATGGCTGCTGCTCCTGTTGCCGCTGCCATAAGCGATGTCACTGCAATTTTTTGCTGAGAACAGACAGACACGTGATGATCTTCTTAATTTGATTTTTCTTCTTCTTCTTCTTCTCTCTTCCTTCTATCTCTCTCTCTCTCTCTCTCTCTTTCTCTCTTTCTCTTTCTATCTGCCTGATTAATTATTGATTTTGTTCCTATTCACTTGTCTCAAACGTACTTCCTTCCATTCCTAATCCTTTTGGCCTCTCTGTTGCCCAGCCGCATGAAACTTTTTTTTTTATAATAACATTCGATTTAAGAGTAATAATTAATTAGCTTTTAAATATATACTGCCAGCTTATATACAAGCAATACTTGTAATTTAAGCTTGACAAGATTGAATATCGAAAAGAAAATATATATTTTGATCTCTTACTTAGGATCTTATTAAAAGTTTATTCATATAATTATCATATACAAATAATGTTATTATTTGATCTTTGATCTTTGTTACAGTATCAGTTCTTCAATAGACAAACCGACGCATGAAATGTACAATCAGAAAGAAAGGAGAGATAGGAGAACGATCGTTAAATTATACTTCCAAAATAGAAGAATAATCATCTTTTTGGTGAATTTGAATGCAGTACAACGTGCAAAATGTAAACGTAAATTGCATTTTCTAATGTTTTCGACAATTTGGTACGATCAGGGTTTGGATGATATAGGTTGTACAAATTCGAGCCTTGCTAAGAGAAAGTATTTGATGTCACAATGAGATATGAGAAAATAGGAATATACAAATTCAATTCCATTTCGAAGATTGATCTATTACTTTTAATTTATTCGAAAAAGTCTCTAATTCTTTTTTTTAAAATACATATTTTACATTTTTCAATCGAGAATTCTGATTAAATGGAGAAATACACCATAATTACAGCGAGAATGGTCGTTTTTAAGTAGGCTAACTTTCTTCTTCTTCTTCTTCTTCTTCTTCTTCTTCTTCTTCTTCAAAAGATAAAAAAGAAAATAATCTCTTTTTTTCTCTTTAAATGTTTCATCGTAATAAATAACATTACATATATGTTGGCATCCAACAGTTGGAAATTAGCTGACAAAAATTCTCTATTAAATGTATACATGTACACGCGTGTCTATACGTGTGTGTATAATAATTAATTACTTTAGTTCAAAAGTTTCTTTATATTGATCGATATTTATTTAATTAGATTTCTCTTCTTAACAAATTTTAAATACGTTCGTTTATTTTCTCGTTTCGTATCAACTTTGATAAATTATTTGATGCACATTTAATTGTAATTATAAATTACTCTTATACAGATAAAATACATTTGTTGTATACGTTTAAAACAATCTTTTTTATTGATAAATTAATTGCTACTCACAACTGACACACGGTATAAAATGATATATATTGATTATAGAAATTTTAATAATTATCCACATGTTAAAGAATGAATTTATTCATGAAATATTTTCAGTAATGCAATATGAAATTAGGAAATTAATTCTATATATAGAATTGTGTCAAATAATTTACAAAATGATACGAAACTTTAATTCTTATATATATATATTTTGTCGATAATTAAAATTATTGAATAATGACAAATATTAATATTAATACTCGTATATTCCTTGTGTTATATATATATATATATTTTATATATGGATATATCCGTACATATCTTTGGTCTCGTTCCTACAGAAAGAAGCCAATGTTTTTCTCCTTAAAATTTTAGCTTAGGGCCTACTATTTGTTGTTATTTAAATGGGAAAAAACGCGTTATATAACGCGATATCTTTGTCAATTGTCGCATAACACAATCATTAATTATTAAGGTAGTTTTTATATCCGTGTAAAATAAAACATAAATATATATATATATATTTATTACGCGGATGTTCGCGCGCGCGTGCCATTTTTAATTACGGATAATTGTATCCAAAAAGAGAGAAGCACGATTTTAGAAAATAAAACTAAAATACGATCTGATTCTTCAAATATATACGAGCAGCGTTCGGGAAAAAGAAAAAAACCCCACGTGTTCCTACGAACAAATGAATTTTCATTTTGCGAAAGTCTATGCAACCCTCTTCATCCCTTCGGGTAAAGAGTACCTTATATATTTTTTCCCTTTTATATCTAATGAAAAATATCAATTGGGACAATTTTATTCAAGCGCACACAGAAACACATATATATATATATACATATAAGGTGTACGATGTTGAAAGGAAAGTTAATCGAATTTTATCTGACGTTTTAAAACTTTCACAGAGTTTATAAATAATAAGACAGAGAAATTTAAATCATTATACATATATGTATATAAATATATAGATATATATAGTTAGTTCCAAGAATATTCCATCACTTCACTTTCAATTGAAAATAATCAATATTTTCTTGCAATATAATATTTTAAAATTCTAATATACAAACACATATTTTATATAAGATTATTAAACTTGTAAATTGATATAAATTTTATTTTGAAAGAATATTTTATTATAAAAGAGAAGTGAAATGTGACATTACTTAATAAGAAAATTTGTTTCAAAAGCAGTAAAAAATGAAAAGGAAGAAAAATAATAATTATATTTTTATTATAACTTACTAAGATATACAAATAATCTTTCGTGATACCTATCTTTTTATTATTTTAATAAAATTATAATAAAAAAATAAAATGTATATCAATTTGAAAGTTTAAAAATAATCTTATAAAATAAATTATTGTGTATAAGAATTTGGAAACTTTACATTAAAGGGGTAAAAATCAATTATGTAAAATTTACAATAGAGAAACTGATACGAATATTCCTGTAACTCACTGTATGTATCGTATGAATTGTATTATTTGTTAATCATCATATCGTACAGCATTATAATCATTGCAATTCACGATTTCCCAACGAACAAAACGACGATGATTAAATTATTTATAAATTTGTGCTCGTGTCTCTCTCTCTCTCTACGCAACTTATGAATATTTCTTATTGTTAGATTTTGTATCTTCCGTCCGATTTATTATTGAAAATAATCCTACCCTCTTTACCTCAGACAAAAGTGAAAAATAGTCCCACACGCAAGTACGATAAGGTAAGCGCACAGATCTACAATCATAGATCCTATGAATTTAGCGTGTACATGTTCCTAAGACGATCATATACAAAGTTAAGTGTCCTTAATGTTAATCAAAATCGATTGAACGATTTAATCAGACGGATCATATATTGAAAGAACAAATCGTATATATTGGTAATTATTTCTTTAATATAAACGCGCGAATGTCCGCATTTAATTACGTACATTATCACTACTACTATTATTTATTATTATATATATATATATATAAATTATGTATACATGTGTCACAGACAATCATAGACAATCATCTTTCGAACCAATAATTAAAATCGCGTGAATAACAATCTCGATTCAATGTTTTACACACTTCTATATAATAATCTAGCTGATATCATTGATTCATTTCATTGTGAAATCAATTCGATCGTTTCTTGCACAAAATGAAACCCCCTCCTCCTCTCATCGATTGCTGTTGCACACAATGTAATAAGTATACAGATTTCTTACATTTGTGTGAAAATTACAAAAGAACAAAAATAATCTTAAATGTGATACACGTTGAATCGATCTAATCTCGAGATATCTATTCGAAAGTCTCGCTCTTTTCTTTTTTACAAATATTTTTTTTCTTTACAAAATACACAGGACGATGATATATTGTGCATAAATTTGTTTTCCTTACGTGTGAGCGTATTTCGTATACAAAATCTCATTTTTCTCTTTATATATATATATATATATATATATATATATATGTATATCTATATATATATACACATATATTTAGAAATCTATTTGGTAATACAAATATACGGAGTCGAGTAAAATACTTATTTTCTTGTATTCTTTTGTGGATTAAATTAAATGTGAAAAAGAAAATATATATATATAAATAATGCAACAAATGCATCAACAATAGTTTTCAGTATACTAAAAATTGTATGAAAATAAATGTTTGTTATCTTTTTTTTCATTATCATTGATGACATAATATTTTACACGACTACGTTATATTGTATTTGACAAGATATCTGGCAATATACTTCAATCGAATTCTTCGTTATAATAGTACGCTCGTAATCGTGTGCATGATTCGATTATTCGAAACGGTAATCGTCCCTTTTGGAATCTTCGTTAGTTGTTAATTGATAAGATAAGTAAAACATGATTCCAATTCAATTAATGTAACAGTAATACTGATAACGATGACGTAATTATTAAGTGTCTAACTATGTTATATTCAATAATGATCCTTTGTAAGTAATTTATATAAGAGATGTTTTTTATTTAAATTGTGACACGAAAAAGGTTTAATAAGATTCATGAAAAGGATAGAAAAAAATAACTCATCGTTAAATGCATATCCAAAATTATTAAAATTCGTTAGGACGGTGAATAATAAAAAGGAACTGATACTTTTATTATTTTTCTCTCTTAAAAATGAAAAAATATTTATAGATAAAGATTTTTTAACGAAATTTACATGCTTTACAATAATATATCTAAATAATGTGACAAAAGCCAATAACATAGGCTTATCTATTTAGATTCGTGTGCAATAATATCGGCGAAGACTGATAATGAACAATTATTTGAAATTTAGTTAAAAATAAATTGAAAGCCCAAGTGATTTGACTACCAGTATATGAAAGAAACACGAAAGTATCGCGTGTTCTCTGATATTACTTGGTATAATTAATATTTTTTCTATCATCAATTATATATATATATATATGTTATACACACGCCGAAAGAAACAAATTTGATGTATTGTATCTGTATAGTGCCTATAGTGATTGCCAAAGATGAAAGTTTAAAATGTATAAATTTTAAAATCACAAAGAACGAGATTCTATCAAAAGTTTGTTACAATTTCAACCGATTCGAAGAAATTTAAATTATAAAATATCTAGATATACGTGCTTGTTCATCTCTCATTAACTTGATTATAAAGATATATCTATTAGATTGAGATATTCCTATAAAGATTATGCAACTGTATATGTAGAAAATCATCGATTAATGGATGCTCGTCAAAAAAATCCCTTTTTAAAATTATGTGTTCAAAAGAATTATACACATGACGTTGATAATTTCAATCAAAATACAAAGGATCTGTTTTTAAATTGTGGCCCTTATGACAATTATACTATTCTATATGTCTATTTCATGTATTAATTTTTCAAAATATAATAAAACGTTCGTTATGTCAATAATAAGTTGAATGTGTGTACGTGTGTTGGTATGTATCAATGGGCGAATGTATATGTCGTGGTACGTTATAAAAACTAAATATAACTTATCTAAATTTATAGGATTTTTTTTTTCTGAGAAACACCATTAATAAGATTCCGATCAAATATCATTTTTACAATTCACACTGACAAATTAACTTTAATTTTACACCTTCATATGAAGCTCTCATCCATATGCCAATAGCATGTGCACCAGGATCAGGATATTTAAATGTCTATAAGAAATTAATTAATCGCATGAATATCGTTGATAGTTTGATATATAATTGTAACGTGTAAAGAAGTAGTAAATAAACAAACAGAAAAATAATTGAAAAAAACGTTGTTATAAAAAAGAAAGAAAAATACTTTGGACTTAAGTAAGCTGGCACGTCCACGTAATGCTCGCGTGTATAGTGTTTGAATAGCACATTGTTCTGCAGCTTTAACAGCTTCTCCAAATGCTTGAATAGGATGCATTTTTGCATCTAATGTACTAGATAATACATTTTGTGCAGCCATTAAAGGATCTAGCATTGTTCTGTCTCCAAATGATACTTTTCCAAATTCTGATATAACTTTATTTCCTGCAATTAATGCATTCAACCATGTACGAGATGTTATCTGATCAACGGTTTCACCAAAAGTCTGTAATTAATTATAAACGTGTTATAATAAGCAATTATTTATAACGAGATATGTTTAATTAGACTTTTATACCTTAGCAACAGCATGAAAAAATAAGGAATATAATCCTCCTTGCAATCCACCCATTTCTTTTTCTATAATACAGCTAATCTGTGTAAATATGACAAAAAGATTTGTACTATTCAATTTGCTTTCCTGAAAAGTTACAAATTTTTAGCTGTGACAATGAGGAATAAAAAGAATATCTTAACATTTTAAAAACATATACTTTGATTGCATTTTTGATAGCATTTGCTCCTCGAGCAAGCGTAGTGCCGCAATCGCCATCGCCACTTTCTTTATCCATTGTATTCAATTGTTCTGCACAAACTATCAATGCTTCACATGCAAACGATATACAAATTAAAAGTACTTGTCCACTTCTATTATCTAACATAGTTCCTTGGGGCTTTACATGAGGTAAACTGCCATTGCAATAATCCTATAAAACATCGAATCAGTTTTATATTAATTAAAAGGCTTAAGAATTACAAAAAAGTATTATATTGTTTTACTTACCCTGCAATACTTTGTTGGAATACTTGGCTTTAAATCATGACTCTAGAAAAATATAATATTTTATATTAAAAAATGTCTATTGTTTGGTAACAAATATTATTTGTGATATCATAAGACATGCGTAAACTAACTTGTTCAAATCCAACCATTTCAGCAGTTAATACTTTTGGCCAAGCAGGTGCTGATGTTGGACTATCAAGATATTTAATTAGATCGGGATCAATAGAAAGATTTAATAATGAGACTTGAAAACCATAAGAATCCAATGAAGTCATTAAATGACCTGTATATATTCTTTGCACCAATAAATCAAAATCTTTTAGTTGTTTAAGTACTTCAACCGTAAATACATTGCATTCTATCTGATTGCTGGCTAAACAATGAAAATTATTCATTATTATATTTTATTTTGTCATAGAAATTTTGCTATTAATTGAAACATTCATTATACCTCCAAGATTGTTTACCATAACAGCTACGTTGTGGCCAACAGGAAATCTTCTAATTGAATTTTTCTTTTCTTCTGAGCTTTGGGATAATAGTATTAATTTATTCATTAAAAGAGTAGTAACATCCTCAATGGATGTTTTATTTATTGTAAAAACACCTACTTCACCGTGAACACCGTATCCTGCTCAACATTCAAAATACAATAATAGAATATATATCATACAAAACATTGTATCGAAACATTCTTTTTGCTGATACTTTATAAATTTAATATAAACCTATTTTAATCTTCGTAAAACTGTCGTTCCTTGAACATAAATTCTCTTCATAAGAAAATGATAATTTCATGCCTATGCTAATAGTTGCAATTTCTCCATTATTTATGATTCTGTTACATACATTATTAATACTTTCTAAATTTTCCCCATTTTCTGCCATCGCACCAGCTATTTTGTTAATGAATAATATACCAGCTAAACCTCTTTTTTCTATGCCTGTATAATCATTTTCTATGCATACATCATCTCCAACAATTACCATTTTCACATATATGCCCATACTTTCTGCACGCAGTTTGGCTATTCCAAAATTGATACGATGTCCTGAATAATTTGGAACTATTAACAGAACACCTATAAGATCAAAAATAATAAAGATAACAACATGGCATTTAACAAATTATTTATTATATACAAAATTAATACCAGGAGAATAATCTGTGCCAATTTCTTCAATGACTCTTAATATAGAATTGACTGGTGGTGCTGAGGAAATATTTCCATAAATTGCAGCAGTCAACATGCCAGGTCCTACAAAACCACCATAAGCAGGTTCATTGCCACTTCCTCCGCCAGATATTAATTTAACCTAATAAGAGCAAACTTTAGTAATCCACAAATTTATGGAAAAAAAAATATTGACTTACTTTATCAATCATGTTAGAATAATCTCTTCTTAAAATAGCTTTACAATCTTCCAGAACAACTAAACCATGATGTATTAATGCAACGCTAAGAAGACTAGTTTCTGTTGCTTTATCAGAATCTTTCCATAAATGTTGCATTTTATAATATAAGTTATAGACTCACGAAATGTATTATTTATTGTCCCTTTAAAATTTAAAAACCAGTAAATTTTTATAGATATACTTTCCATACATAAATGTATTGTAGGTTAGAAAAGTTTAGTGACATATTACAGAAATAAATAATACAAGATCTATCTATTTTAAATTTCAAGGTACTAATATGGATATAATACAGGAATAAATAAATAAAAACACAACAATAATGTTGTTCTTTCTATTTTGTTCTATTCGAGTTGTAGATATTTTTGTAAACGATAGATCGATTCTCATTTGATATGCATTCACTCGGAAGTGCAATTAATACATTCAAATATACATTTTAAACAAATAAGTAATGAATGATGTTGATAAAATGAAGAAAAAATAAATCAAAATGAAAGATTAAAAAAGAATTATTTTATGTATAAAGCCATATTTATTTTTTATAATAATGGTATTCAGCCCACATGTGGCCAAATATATTGCACTACATTTTGACTACGTTTGCAAACTGTGCTTTACTATAAATTCTTTAGCCCTCAAAAGGTTTCTCCTAATTGACTTTTTTAAATAATAATATATACGTTCAATGACATACAAAATTTGAGCAGATACGAGCAGACTTGATGCAATTTGGAAATTTTTAAAGCATAGCTTGCAAATGGATCTATTAGCGACAAATTTTGTCTTTCCAATGATAATATGACAACCTTAATAGTATCAGTCTACAAAGTTATACTAAATCGTTGCTTACATAAAGATATTCAAATATAGACCTTGTAACAATATCAGCAACATTACCATGCACTCATTCAATTTAATGCACATAATATGTACAATTCTATGGTTAACTTTGTTGTTTCCATGCAACATTCATACCACGCAGGGTTCATTTACACATAATTATTTAGCCCTATTTGGTATGCAGTTGTTAATCGCATTTTCAGTTTTAATCATGTATTAAAAGCCTAAAGGAAATTTAATATTTCTTGATAACAAAGTGAATAACTGCATCTTGCATTGCATTACAGTTTAGTTATTGTCTACTCAGACTGCAACTCTTTTTTTTAGTTAAAAAGAACTTTGCACGTTCTCAAAGCACAGTTTTTATTAAAATTGTGCAAATTGTAATATGTATGCAATGATATCATGTGTTCATCCTTTTATACGTCATTATGATATATATATAATATAATATTTCGTAATAATATAATTGGTAAACAAATGCATATACTATTAACACAATGAATGATCAAGAATTAGTGCCTTTTTATATTGGATAGCACTTATTTATTTCTTTTTATTGAGTAAAAATCTAATATTTTTTTGAAGCACTTGGTAGAATATCATTTCTATATTATTTCGTGCAAAATTGCATTACGTATTACGACTGGCCTGCTAAAATACGATGCCAATGAAATTGTAATGGTGGAAAATTTTATTACACAGAACTTAATCAATTGAGTCCATTTTAATGTCTCAATAATAGCTTAACACTGTTTAAAGTTCAGATCCATCCATGATTAAATTGTCTTTAAAACGTAATTCTTGCTAATTATTTGTTGCACTGGCTAGTATTGGCCATACTACTTCCAATAAATTCTTCAATATGGAATATTCTTCGATCTTCTGGTATTTCAGAGCGAATTTGTGATGTTATTGAATAACCGTTTACCCCACCAAGATTCTAGGTCAAAAGGTTTAAAATCTAGAACAATAAGTTTTTTTTATCAAGACAGACATTAATGAATTTATTCATTACAATAATTGATTAATGGTATAACTACTGATTATTTGGATATATTACCTTGAAGAATATCATTTGGTTCTCCATCATTATAATATACTATAGAACTCGGACCTAAGAAAGAAAAATATTTTAGTTTAAAATTCAGATATGGCACGAACTCTTTAACCCATTCTATTAAGTTTAACCTTTTTCGTTAAATAAATAGTATATGTTTGCATGTATTTTAAGACTAATTAATATTGTTTGATGATTTGTGCATTTGTATTATAAACAATATAGTTAAAAAAAAAGTATCTTATTTGTCAATACTTACTGGAAGGCTCTGAGCAGTCTGATCCGTCCAAGGATTCACTTCTTTGTCTTGTGTTAACTTGGTTCCATGCTAATAAAAGAATTTATAAATATATCCTTTTAGAGTTGCATAGATATATATTAAGTCATCAAATATTTTTCTCTTCTCTGATTATTTTATCAGACTTTGTAATTCTTCTTGTGATATTTGCATCTGTTAACTATTCTCCACTTATGTTAAGGTTGCTTGAAAATATTTGAAATACTTGTATCTGTGAAGCAGGGTTCTTAAGTAGGTTAATGCTAGTTAAACTAATTTTCATAAGAGAATTATACAAAAATATGCAATGCTTGTAAATTTGAATCATTTCAATTTAGTGATATTTATATTAATAATATCACTATCCAATTACGTATTAACCCACTTTCAATCTCCCTGACCCTAAACATTCATACTTACATTCATAAACAAATTTAATAAGTTCTTCATGCTGTGGTGTTATAACTTCTTGCATCTGATGCCTCTGTGAGTTGAACTTTGACTTCCCATTGATGTGAAAGACTGGCTTTGGCACATGACTGCAAATAATGAAAGAGAATGCATTAAAATTTATTCAAATATTCAAACAAAAAAAAAAAAAGAAAATAATAATAATAATAATAATAAAAATAAAGTTTAATTTATGATAATAAAATTAAAGTAATGTTTAAACTTATTATCTTTTTTATGCTCGACCACATTAACATAATTTAACGAGCAAAAGGTGATTTAGTTTGTGGAAAAATAAATTGTGAATTGCGTAATGTTGAGTATGGAGGAAGAATAAAAAGTCGATCTGTAAGGTTAACAAAGTTAGATCATGACCTACCGGGTGGTTTCGTGATCAGTTTCAGGAACTGCCTTTCTCGTTAGATCACGTAGAGTTTCTAATCTCTCTAGATTCTGACTGATTCCTTTAAAATAAACATTTACATTTTGATTATGAAACACGTATAGATAATGATTTACACCTTTAAATTTAGGGTCGACTTATTAATCGATCACATTGTTCACAACAATATACATAAATACCTCTACGAGTCTTCGCTACAATCTTACTAGGCCCTTTAGATACGGTATACATGTTCCGTTAGAAATAAGCACTGTAATGATCTATCTTCACCGTTACAATGAAAGATCATTCGAAAATATTTTTTTCTTATATTTCGAAATAGATTATTTTTAAGGGGGGAAAAAAAAAACAAGTAAACGAAAACTAGCAAACGAATTGATCAAACGCTCAGATTGAACTGAACAAATGCATGATAGATAAACCACGTGACCCTGTCTCGCACTATCTTTTTAACATATTACCATCGAAACTACTCGTAAATAATCGAATTGCGTACATAAGTATCGATAACGTAACAAATTTCATCTATCGATACTACTTGTATATTTGATTGTTAGTTATTATTAACTAAATTCGATGTTTAACATTCGATTTAATAACATTTGACGATAATTAATTCTAATAAATAATAGATACTATATGAATTAAATTCATACATGATTAAGACAAAATATTTTTTTATTTATTCTATTTTAATTTGCTGTTAGTATATATTTTAATAATAATAATATCAAGTAAATTATTAAGCATAACTTTTTATATAAAAATGTTTCTTGTTACATACTTTGCATTGCAATTTTATTACATAAATTAATAATTACAAGAAACTATTTTGTTTTCCATGTATTTCTCTTAATAATAGACTTTTTATCTTCTTCTTATCTTTGTTTTTAATAGCGAGAATAAATATATAGAGATGTTTCTTTTATTTAATAACAGTAACAATTTTCTATTCGAAGCATTCTATTATTTTAGTACCGATTGATTTATACATAGATATATGGTGAACAAAAAATTATAAGAAGATATTTACGATAACTCCTTTATCATTTCGTTTGTTTACATGTGCAAATAACAATTAAAAGATATATTATGAATTAATATAAAAATTATATATAAATTAATATTATATTCTGTGCACATATTTTAACAATTTCACATGCAATAAAAGAAAATATATATTAAAAACTAAAATTACCATTTACGTTGTTCTTACGTTATAATAGTAACATAATGTTGCATATTAAGGGAATTCTTTTACAGTTTTTTTTTTTGTAGAATATACATAGATTCTATTTATAAAAAAAATGTTAATAATAAATGTTATTAATCGATTATTAATATAAGGGATACTAAAGTGTAACAATTATAATCATTATAACAATATACAAAATAACTATAATGATTATCAACCTATAATTCATTATTGTTTACAAAATTTTTAATAGGAGAGCATTTGTAATTTACTTTAACATAGAAAAATATTTTTATTAATATTTATCGGATGAGCTATTAAATATGATACTTAATATTCCACGCTGTAGTAATTAATAAAATAAATACAACCTCACATAAAATAGTATTTGTGTGGATCTTAGGTAATTCAAGGGATATGCATTGCTGTTTATTATTTTTTTTTCTTTTGAATTTAATATAATTTTGTAAATATAGGATTTTCTATATATACAAATAAAAAAAATTAATACTTTTTATCATTCTACTGAAGAAGTTGCAGCCCCTCCCCCTCATTAACATACATTTTCTTTAGATTTCTATTTTATCATTACTTATCCATTATAAGTAAGAACTTATAACAAAAATATTCCAATAGATACTGCGTGATACTACGCTTGTTAAGTACGTAAAAAAAGCAAATTTAATGCATAATGCGCACTCGTTTGCCTCTCTTTCCCTGATTCTTATTTTTTTTCTCTTTATTTTTGCATTTAATTAATTAAATTAATATGAACATTAATATAACAGATGCAGGTAGAGGCATTAAAGACTTTAGTTAGTGTAGAGCTGTGTTGTCTTTTATCATCTGCTTTACAAGAGATTTGACAGCAACATTTACAGAGCAAATAAAGATTTATCTTGATCTTTATTAATTTGACGCTGAATATTTGGATTTCCAGAGTTCGAAGTATTTGATGGGGTTGTTGTAGTTGAAAGTGTAGGGAGAGCTTCAGCAGCAGCTGCTCGCTCTGCTAAAAAACGTTCAAACTCTGATGATGTTAAAGATTCTTGGTCACCTTGTACAGCAGGCTGTAACATTCCATACGACACAATATCTATTTTATATTAAAATAAAAAACGATCATTATGTTATTATATATTATCTATAATATTTGATTGAATCTTGACATTAATGTATAAGAAGATTCTTCCTCTTACCTGCTCCAAAAATACTCTTTGAAACATTTTACTAAAATTAAAATATTTAAATATTAGGTGAGAATGCATCACTCACCGTATGACTAAGCCAAGCTGCCATTTCACTGAACTCTGATTCCCGGTTGAGCTAAGCATTTAAATTAAAGACGAACATTGAACAAAACAATAAACATTTGTACATAATATAATTATACAAATAAATATAAAGAAAAAAGAAAAAAATAATGAAACATAACATTACAGAAAAAGCTATGCAAAGCGATAAAATTTTATAATTAATACTGTACCTTCATTTGCTCAGGTAATTAAAGATTTTCATTCTTTTATGTTGGAAAATTTATATTGAACTAAGTGGTACTGTGTTTCAAGTTTACAGGATTTTCTTTTATATTCCAAGTAAAATATGAAATTATAATTATGATTTTGGTCAAGTCTATTACAAAAATAGTTATTATATAATTAATAGAACTAATTGTATTATTTACATTATGTAAATTCCTGTAAACTTGTAGGATTTTGCTGTTGTGTTACTACTAATGAAGATATTATGACTTAGCTTAAGAAGGATAAGGAGCATTACGCACAGTAGTAGTAGTAGCAGCAGCAGCAGCAGCAGTAGTAGTAGTAGTAGTAGAAGAAGTAGTAGTAGTAGTAGCAGTAGTAGAAGCAGTTTGATGGGAATACTTAGGATTGTTACGATTGAGAATTGCTGAACTTAGACTTCCTCCGCTCACCTGTTCCATATTATCTTCATATTTGCTACCACTGTATGATAACATAATAAAATTTTTAATATAATAATAATAATATCCAATATATATACGTATATATTATAAAAATGTTGGAAAAAATATTTTACCTGTTTTTTGTTGTCTCGTATGTTGCATTACGGGACTGTGCGAACATATCAAATTCATCGCTATCTCCTTTTTTTTCTTTTTTTTCTACCCTAAGATTATCATTAGTTTCAGATATACCTGCAATTAAATAAAATTAAATAAAAGGATCAGTTTTGATATTATGAAATTGAAGCTTACCCATTGCTGCCACCTGCTTCTGTAAAGCATCAGATTCGTCTGACAAATCTATAAGTGAATCTGCCTCTTTTTTTGTTGATTCTGCATTCGAATCAATATTTGGTGGTTGACCTATTGTTTGAGCTAATATAGTACTTGCAGGTACAGCTTTATTTTTTGTATATCTTGAATAACGCAAGAACAGATTATTTAATTCATCATTTATGCGCAATAATTCAGCTGTCATTTCATCATTGGCCAGTTTTCCAATTAAATCTACTACACGTTCTTGCATCGCTTTACATGTTGCATACAATTCCTATAGATTATATATATATACATATATGTCTCACGTATATGTTTACGAACCAAAAATTAATATTCTAGCTGCTAAATAAAGAAATATTGAAATGGGATATATAACATACCGTCAATAATTCAAGATCAGCAGAATCTGGTGGTTGAGTGGAAGTTTGATCCGTCAAATATGTTAACATTTCTGATAAAACACGCATGTTGCCTTGTACAACATCCAGTTCACTTTGTAATTTTGCCAACTGTTGCTCATTCAATTGAGTTAACTGACTAGATGATTGTAATTGTGATTGTTGTTGCGTCACCGTAGAGTTTGAAATATGTTGATCATTTACAGGCAAATTCCCTGAGATTTGTTCTGTTTCAGGTACACTCTGTAAAGTACAATAAGTTTATATAATTTATGAAAATATGATTTACAAATGTAATGTCTTACTCTTTGAGGAGTAATAATAGGTGCCATTGCATCCAAATCAGTCATTGGAAATTGTATGCCTTTTGCTTTTAATTCCTGATAGACTTGCACAACTCCTTGAGTATGTGCTTGATGACAAAATGTATCTGACCATGTTTGAATAAGATTCAAAACTTTTTCCTGTACAGCAGTTGGCGGTTCGTTTTTCGGTCCAATTAATTTAACCAATTCTTGTACAAATTCTCGTGAACAAGCAAGAGCATGAAAACGTTTTCCACAATTTTTCACGCAAGTTTCTAATACCTACATTTATAAATATTATATACAATAGTTAGGACATGGAAAAAATGACAAATCAGACGTTAGACATCTTTGTATTATAAAATTAAATCCTAAAATCTATAAGCATGCGTGAGTGTGTTTTTATAGACACTAATATAATGTAATATATCAATATACTTATGCTATTACAAATAATAATATAAAAAGTAAGTGAATTTGTGATACTAACAGTAAGCGTATACATTACTATAGTATAATTTTTGCCAGCAGCTTGATTAAGTCTGCGCTTAATTGCTTTAATAGCATCTCTAGGTCCATCTTCTGTCTCATTAATAATATCACATATTTCCATATTAAGTGCCCAATTTTCACTAGGCAAACCACCGTCTGTAGCTTGCTCTGAAATACATAATTTAATTTCAGAGATACAAGAATAGATAAATGAATAATTCTGTTAATAAAAATATACGTTTTTACCGGTCACCTAACATCATAGAAATATCAAATTACAAATGAAAAGAAATGTTGTAACATATAATAAGATATTATCTAGAAAAGTAATATAAGAAAGTACATTAAATTGTACATATGGATGTTACTGTTGGACCGATATTATTACAATCAATGACGACGTAGATAAGATATTAGTATTAAACAATAATACGTATTATTTTAATGAAAGTATAAGTTTATCGATGTTATCTTACCAATCTTTTGGCCAACTGGCGTTGAAAAGGGGTTTACGTTGACTCCAAAAAATGACATGCTTGGTCGAGGATCAGAAACAATGTCAAATATAAATTATATTAGCCCGATTCAAGTGAACATATATCGCGCGCGTGTTAATCTCCGATAAGGGCGATATTCGTAATTCGCTGCGAACAAAGTCTTATACCGTTGTATGACAGAAGGCTGAATCATATGACCTACACAATGATAAAACAGAAATGTCAAAACGTAGGAAGACGAACAACACTAGATATATAGTATCTAGTTCATCTGAGCGTCTTGAGACGTGTACGATGATTGGCTTTCAGTACCCTAGCTTGGTCTTCCACAATTCTCTAAATTGCACTCAACGCAGCTTTAGCCTTCGTTGATTGGATAAAACATTTATCTATCCAAATACTTTAGATTTGATAATAATTTTCAAGCTTTTTAATGAATAATTTTCGATTTTATTAATATATTCTTCGAAAACTATTTTTTACTAAATATACTTATTTCACTCAATAATCTAATGGTTACGTAATGATAGTATTATAACAATGCATGTTGCTAATCAAATTTCGTAATAGATGCATTATGGGAAGTGCAACGACTTGCCGCGCTTTTTTGAAATTGTAATTCTATTTGTACGTTGTTAGATTAAACAATATTCTCATTTCTTTTGTTATTCTCTTATGTTAGATACTATATTTTACATTGTTATTTAGATTATTATCATACTTAATTGTTTATTTTAAGAATAACATAAAAAAAGGATGATAGAGATAGGGATGATGCAACTTGCAGTTGCACAGCAACATAATCGATATAATAAACAGTATTCAAGAATAGGTATATGTGAAACTAGATAAATTAAATAATTCATTCTCATTATTATATATATATATGTATTATTTTTGCAAATGATGTATCAAGAAAATGTCTCGATCGCTTCGAAAAGTATTTTAGAGCCTGGTGTAATTAATGAAGAACTTCTTATTAAATTATCAATTGATCAAGGCCCCAAAGGTGATGCTGGAAAACATTTTCTTGAAGATGGTATTAAATTGGATGCAATTACGGAAATACGAATTGAATTTCATAGTATGTCATTGTTTATGGCAAATTCATATAAATTTGAAAAAATTCATTTATAATCTTATATTTATATTTCTACAGATATTTTGAAAATTGATCATCTTTGGGTAATGCCAAATTTAAAAAAATTACATTTATCCAATAACATTATAGAAAAAATCGAAAATTTAGATGCCCTTGTTCATTTAAAAGAACTCGATTTATCTTTTAATCATATTAAAGTAATGGAGAACCTAAATCATTTAATTGAATTGGAAATACTGTTACTTTTCAATAATCACTTTTCTAAAATCGAAGGCATAGATAATCTACATAAATTACACATTTTTAGTATTGGAAATAATCAGATAACAGATTGGGAACATGTATAATATTTTAATACAGTGCATGTTTTATATATTAAACCTTGTAGTTTATAATTGTTAGCTTAAATTAGAATTATTGAATTGCAGGTCATTTATTTACGAAAATTCAAACGTCTGTGTAGTTTTAACATAAATAAAAATCCATGTACAGAGAAAGATGGATATCAAGAATATTTAATTGCATTAATACCGCAATTAATTTATTATCAATATAAAATGATAACCAAGGAAGAGCGTCAATCTGCTGTAATGAAACATCAGTGAATATATTTTATATTTTATTACTATATCACATAAGACAACTTTATATATAATTTTTCATACTATTCGATTTATAGACGTATGATTAGTAATATAGAAGAGGAAGAAGCAAAAACGAAAAAGCAATTGGATGAACAGGAAACATTTAAAAATTTACAAAATTTATTGTCTAAATCTTATGTAGAATATTTAAATGATGATAACTTTTTTTGGCAAATGTTTCTTGATGACAAAGGTACCAATATTCCATATACTAATTATTTTAAACTCTGTAGTATATATATATTATAAAATATTTTTATTTATTAGAAGGAAAAGATTTATCTGCTGTAAATAATGATACAAAAAATGCTTTTGAAGAATATAGAAACAAAATCTCGTCTATATGTTATGAATTTTATGAAATTGGATTAAAGGAACAAGTTAAACGAGATAATGAAATTAAATTGTTCAATGATGCTGTTAATGATGGCAAAAGCAAAGAACTAAACGACTCAAGAGAGTAAATATTATTTTATTATATTAAACATGCTATTATCTTTTTATTGGAATATACCCATATAACATGCTTTTATCCTTAGTATCGTAGATGAATTAATAAACGAAAAAGTTGAAGTATTCTCACAAATAAATTTATTATTTCATATGCTTGATGACATAGAAATGGATGATATGGATGATAATATTGAAGTAATACAAGATTGGTATATTCATTTCAATGATATGATATCTAAAACATGGACAAAATTAATGTCCAAAGAAGTTATATTACATGATCAATTAGTAGTATGTACTATATAGAAATAAAACTTAACAAATGAGATATTTTTAAATTCTGTAATTGACGATACTATTCTTTCGTTCTATAAAAGGAAATAAATGAAGTTTTTAAAATAAATATGACTAATATGATCGAGCAATTTTTGGAAACTGCTCGAGAGTATTTTTCACAAATGCGACATGCTGAAGCGGAATACAATGATAATATTAATAGTATCATTTCATATTTTATCAGTGGTTTTGGAGATGAATCTAAAATTCCACGTCATTTGTTAGAATTATGTGGAGATAAAGAAACATTAAGCAATAATCTGGCAGCATCACATGATTTACATTTACATGTAAGTAAAAATCATTTAATATATTCATAACAAAATTATAAAATAAAATTATTCTTTATTTATTATAGACTATTGATGCTAGAGAAGATCGTATGTTAAGTAGATTAAAAACATGGCTCAATGACTATTGTGAAAAGTTATATAAGTAAGTAAACCAATTATTAAATATAGACCACACAAAGAGAATTATAAATTAATTTTTATTTTTAGTAAGGAAACTATCAGGCACCGTCAAAAAATTTTGGAGATTAGCCATTTTCTAGAAGATTTACGTAAACAGTTTAATTCATTAGTATTATTACATTTACCGTATTTTGAAATTGATAATATTTCTTCTCTGACCAATAACAAAAATAATTAGAGTCGAATAATTTTATTAATAGAGTAAAAATAATTTTATTCATGAAATAAAATAATATCTAATTTTATAAAAATATAAACATATATGGGTAAAAGAACTAACGTTGGTATCTTAAATATTTTTGTTATTTTTAACGATACGTCAAATGCCTTAAGGAAAAAGTTAAATGATTCAATGGGGCTCACATGATGGTAAAAATATATCATTATAGATGTTCAAAAAAATGGTAATTATATTATAAAAAATATAACATAAAAACAAAAATATTTTAAGCATCGTGTGAGCTCTATTGAACCATTTAATTCTTTCCTTAAGACATTTGACGTATCGTTAAAAATAACAAAAATATTTAAAGTATTAACATTAGCTGACTCACCCTGTACATGTAGTAGATAAAACTCATACTTCTCTTTCTCTCTTTAACACTGCTTTTTCAAAGACCCTAATCAAGTTGCATAGTATTGGTATTCTTTCTTTTTAAATACATACTCCAGCTATTCCTATATTTAGAAGCAAAGAAGTAAAGAAAAGAAGCAAAACACTTCTGTGTCTTAAAATATAATTAATTTTTCTTTTTTTTCAATGCCTCAACGTATGAATGAAGTCCTTTTTGCACGATTGGTAATTGAATAAATTGCTTAATTTCATTTAACTCAATTTCTCGATATTTTTGTAGCCAGGAAATTGATTTTTCACGAAGTTTTAATTTTATTTTATTTCTAGCAAATTCTGTAAAAGTATAATATCAAATATTATTAGTAAACAATGTAATATGTTTATTTATTTTTATTTTTAATTTCAGTAAAATGATAAACTTACTAGTTATGTTATCATAAGAAGATATATACTTTAGACATTTTTGAATAGCTTCTGCTTTATCACTAACCAATTCATCTACAAGTCCAATATTTAAAGCTTCATTGGGATGAAAAAGTGTGCCCCTGAAAAATAAAGAATCAAATATTTATTAAGCACACGTTTTAATTTTTATAATACTATTTAATATTTGTAATATATACTTCATCAAAGCTATTTCAGCACGCTTTTCACCAAGGATAGCAACATATGGATCTATAAACCATTGTGGAGGTATAATACCTAATTGTGCTTCATTCAACCCTATAGTATGTTTCCCATCAACAAAGGCTCTATATTCACAAGAAATGGCTAATAAACATCCACCAGCAGGGCTAGCACCCTATGTATAAAAGTAAGATCATAATATGTAATATTAAACAAGTTAAAAACAAATATTTAATTTTATATTAAAGCTATATAATTATAAAGAAAATATGTATTAAAACAATTTAATAATGCAATACGTTAACTGCAGCAGCTGTTGGCATTTCTAAACCGTATAAAACCATCCATGTGTCTTGTAAAGTACGCCAAAAAGTAGTGAATCTCTCAATATCTGGTTTATAGATTTCCATAATATCTAAACCCCCAGAAAAAATAGTTGGTAATGATGAACTCAAAACAATGCCTTTATAATTGCTTTTTTGGGCTGCTACTAAAGCTGTTTTTAATTCTTCTAATAACTCCAGATTTAAAGTATTAACCGGTGGTTTAGCCATTGATATTATTTGAACTCCTAATATATGCAAGCTTCATTTAATAAACTCATTTAGTAAAAATATAAATATCAAGCTTTCAAGCAATTATACTTGTCAAAATACCTGTCTTTTCATCTTCTGTGATTTCTAATAATTTCTTTCCAGATGCATAATTTCGGGCAAATTGTTTATTGATCAAAAATCTTCTAAGAGCTAACATCCTATTTATATTACATAAATATATTATGTTATATGATACATTTTTTAATATTATATTTTTATCAATATATAATAATAAATATATGCTACATATTTACATATACATACCTGTTAACAGTCAATGAATGGCTGCTCTACTGATCCATTGTGATGGTCTGTACTGATAAACTATGATGATGCTTCTTGTACTTTGGATATACATAATTTAGATATATCAAAAAAATGGTAATGTTGTTCATACGTAATACTTATTTTTAAAATTACATTATATATATTTATATTTTTATAT